CAGGTATGTTCCTGAAAGTGACTCTTATTACACTGACCAAATCTGAATGGTCTTCCTTCCCTAAATAAATTATGTCACTTTACCATGTGTGACATTCACATATGTTATATGTTGTGTGACTGGTGGAGGTTTCCCAGGGTGTTTGATACACGTTGTGCTTGGATATGATGGGTGCACAATGTAGGCTGAAGATGTGTGTCATTGGACTCATTCCTTAAACATGTCTCTAAGGAAATGCATGCATTTTAGATAGGTTAAGGCATTATGTTTCCCAAGGCATAATAAACTAAGTAGAAGATAATGGCAGAAATATACATTATATGTTAATTAAAAAAAAGAAACAGAAAAGAAAGAAGATAATGGCAAAATGGGGTTTCTGATAATAATCATTTTTACTAGGCAGAGGTATAGAGTAGATATGGGATGTTAAAAGGTAACCTTCAAGAATGGGTTTTAAGACTTAAGTTTTGTTGGAGGAAAGAAGAAGTAAATTGCAGAAGGAAATGTTGAGGACACAAGAAAGTAATGTCCATGAGAATTCTGTTTGCTAAATGGGGAAGAGTGATACAGAGAAGGATAAACCTTCACTTCATACAATTTTGCCTCCAGCAGATATGGGGAGGAGAAATGTGGAACACTAAAATACCTTGTGTCCTTTAGCCTCCTGCATTGTTGAATGATTCCAGTCTTGAAACACTTGTAGAAAAGGCCAAGATCATAACACTTTCAGTTAGGTGGCTGCATTCCTAGTCCTAGACATCTAGCCCATGAGTAGCCAAGGAATCTAGGTTAGTCATCATTTTTCAAGAAGAGCTCCTCAGCTCTGCAGTTTTTCAGTGCACCTGGGGATGAGCAGACACTGGGAAGATGATGACCTATAGTAATCAAACTCACAAGAGATTAGTGTTAAACCAGCGGTTCTGGGGCACCTGGTGGGCTCAGTCAGTTAAGCCTCTGCCTTTGGCCCAGGTCATGATCTCTGGGTCCTGGGATTGAGCCCCACATCAGCCTCTCTGCTTGGTGGGGAGCCTACTTCCCCTCCTCTCTCTCTCTGCCTGCCTCTCTGCCTACTTGTGATCTCTGTCTGTCAAATAAATAAATAAAATCTTTAAAAAAAAAAGAGAGAAACCAGCAGTTCTGTATCAATAATGAGTATAAAGATGAGGATTACTAATAGTTTTTCTCAGTTGATAAAAACTGTCTCAGGGTGCCTGGGTAGCTCAGTGGGTTAAAGCCTCTGCCTTCGGCTCAGGTCATGATCTCAGAGTCCTGGGATTGAGCCCCACATCGGGCTCTCTGCTCATAGGGAAACTGCTTCCTCCTTTCTCTCTCTGCCTGCCTCTCTGCCTACTTGTGATCTCTGTCTGTCAAATAAATAAATAAAATTTTAAAAAAAAAACCCAACTGTCTCAAAATGTATGGTGTGGGGCACCTGCATGGCTCAGTCTGTTAAGTATTGGCTCTGAATTTCAGCTCAGGTCATGATCTCGGGGTCATGAGATTGAGCCTCACATCCAGCTCTGTCATGAGCATGGAGCTTGCTTGGGATTCTCTCTCCCTCTTCCTCTGTCACCTGAGTTATACTCTCACAAACTATCTCTCTCTAAAAAAATGGGGGAAAAGACCCCAGAAAAACAAATAAAACCAAAATGTAGTGGCACGGTTTGTGTTACTGTATTCTGGTTGCCTATACTTATATTCCAGAGTGATCTGTTCTGGTCTCCTACGGTAAGGTTTCACAATACATTTTAAGAATGCTAAGAATTCCTTTTATTAATGGGTTAAAAGATGTGGTTAATCCAACATGGAAGAAAAATGGATTCAAGCACAATTAAATGTAATAGCTTTGTGTTGTTGCTTGGGTTTTCCCACATCCACTCCATCCACCCCATTTGGATAGCTGCATATTCATTTCTTTTCTCAAACTATTTTTCCCCTGCTTCTGTGCAGTGTCGGTGGGGTCATCCCAAGGTTTCAAATCCCCTCTCCTGAGTGAAGTGATGGTCATGAGATTCAAGTTAGGCCAACCAGACTCTTTCCTATAGGAGACCAGAATGTAACAGCCCAAAAGATGGCTCTTTGGCATGGAGATGATTTTGAGCTGATTATTTTGAGAAACAGCAGAGAAAGGAGAGGCTCTGAAAGTAGCCTATAAATCCTCCACTTACAAATAAGAGAAATTTATCATCATAGAGAAAATGTCTATCCCTAAGGCTTTTTCCCTGTGTCTGGTAACAAGATAAACATGCCTCTAAGTCACAAGAAACTCCTACCAATCAAGAAGGCACAGACTTAACTCTGCTTACCAAACCTTACCTTTGTTTACTATTCTTTCGCTGGTTACCTTCCTGGAGCCTGCCTTCCCCATACTCTTCTTCCTTTGTTTTAACTGCAGATGGTCTGTTAGCCCAAGGTCTCATCACCACTTTGAATGACTCTTCCTGATGTGAAGAACAAAGGCAAAGGAAATGTAGAAAGAAAATTAAATTTCCTTACAACATGCAGCCCATTGACAAGTACTTGAGACAGGCAGAGAGACCTTCTTGAAAGAGCTCAGCTACCTCAATGCTAATATTTTGCTAGAGGAAAAAGGTAACCTTAGCCTGACATGAGCCCAACTCCCAGGGGTAAGGGCCTACTTAGCCAGAGCGACTGCATCTCTGTTAAACAGCCATTTTTGTTGTTGGTGCAGTAAACTTAAATTGTCCCTGCCCCTCAGAGAAACTTCCTTAAAAGCAAGTCCAGGAAACCAGTAAAATGTGGTCGACTAATTCCTGATAACGGAGCCCAGAATACAAGGAGGAGTCAGGCCAGATGGAGACATCTAACCAGTACAAAGCACATATGCAACCTCCCTAACCACCAAAGAATGTAAACCCTAGCTTTTGGTGGCCAAACTTGGGCGCCAATTCTGACCAGAGTGATAGGCTAGTTCAAACAGCTACTATAGGGTAAATTGTAATTCAATTAGCTACGTGTGTGTGGCCTAACATGTCTAAGCCTTCCTGGAAAGTACTGTTTGTTAACAGTTCCTGGTATGGGGTAATCTTAAGTAACAAGTCACAAGACCAGAAGGAACTAGCCAATCAGCAAGAGACACACAAACCCAGTGGGTTAAAATAACAAAATACGGGTTGCGGTTTTACCCAATAAAAGGTAGCCTATAAGATTGGGAGGCATTGCTCTCTTTAGAGGCGGCCTTTACTGGTCAGTCAATTCTTGATGCTTGGCACGAATAAAGCTTTACTTGACCTTTGCTTTATATTGGCCTCGTTCCTTTGATAATGGACCCCAACACCAGGATCCTGTAAGTCCCCATTAACATATAAAAATCCCAGGACATCTGGGTGGCTTAGTGGATTAAGTGTCTGCCTTCTGCTCAGGTCATGAGTCCAGGGTCTTAGGATTGAATCCCCCTGATGGGCTCTCTGCTCAGTGGGAGCCTGCTTCTCCTTCTCTCTGAGGCTGCCCCAGCTTGTACTTTCTCTCTCTGTCAAATAAATAAAATCTTTAAAAAAATATTTATGTAAATCCCTTTGGAGACTTCCTTTATCTCTACCCCATCCAAGTTATATGTCAGCAATCATCCTCCAAGCTTATGGCCCACTGATAGACATCTGAAGGGTCTCATGACTCATGCTGTACTAGACACTAGTAAATGACCTCATCTTAACAGCAGCTAGCCCTGCAAGGCCATAAAACCCTTGCTTCCAAATACCTTCAGGACTTTGTCTATCCCTAACCCCACCTAAACTTAAAAGTATAGAATCAGCCACCTGTCACAACCTTAGTGCAGCTCTTTCTGCCCTTGGGTCCTGTCCACATGCTTTCATAAAACCACCTTTTTGCACCAAAGATATCTCAAGAATTCTTTCTTTGCTGTTGGCTTCAAACCCTAACATCTTTCTTACACAATCTATACTGGGAGGGTGATGATGCACCCCAACTCCATGAAGAAAGAAGCTCCTTTACTACGACCCTCCCACCTTACCCTAGGTATCTTTTTATCTGGCTCTTCATCTGTCTCCTTTACCATATTGTTTAAGAAACTGATAAACCATGAGTGCTTCCTCGAGTTCTGTGTGCCACTCTAGCAAAGTAATGGAATAAACAGGGAGTTGGGGAAGCTCAGATTTATAGCCAGGCAGTCAGAAGCACAGGAGACGAGTGGCACTTGCAACTGGCAACTGGACTGGGGAGTCTTGTGTGTTTGTCATTTGTTTTCTCCTAAAGAAGTGAAATCATGGAGCTCAAAATGATAAAGCTTCAGGGATGGAGACACTCAACGGACATCAGGATTTCATAATTTCCTCACACTTCTTTGAGGAAGTTATCACTTCTCCTTTGTTCCTTTAAGGAGGCTTGGTCTTCCTGCATCAGCAGGGATACTGGCTTGAAACAGTGAGTTGGAGAGTGTGGGTCTCATCCACACTATGCACAAGAAAGGTATCTTCCAAGCCCTAGGTTTCCCTTTCCTCTTTCCTAGGGCTCAGAACCCTTCCACGCTTGCATACCTGGCAGAGGAACAGCAGATAAAAGCCTCTGAGCCTGGGACTAAACACTGCCTCTATCCTTAACAGGAGCCCCAGTAAGGAGACCTGGTAAGAGGAGATGCCTGGGGTCTGGGGACAGCAGAGCCATGACGATGGCCAGAAGGTCCAGGTCACATAGATATTTGAGAAATATCCCAGGAAGGAGGAGGGAGGAGCCAAGTTTCTGGACAGGAGGTATAGGACAAAAAGAGGAATGGGATCTGCTATTTAGAGGAAAGGTCATCTTACCTCCCATTCCTCCTTACTGGGCTTCAGGTCCTGAAGAAGAATTTTAAGACTCATGTCAGAAAGAAAGAATACAGTTTAAAGAACAAGAAAAGGACCATGAAATCTGAAAAGTTACAAACGCATCTAAATGGTTGTGAATGATAATTTTGGTCTTATGGCTTCTACTACGATCATTCTCTCCTTTTCTTCTCTCTTCCAACACAGAAGAGATGATGCTGGATCTTCTGGGACCGTTTCCTCTCCTCCTGTTGCTGCTGGGATCATGGGGGCCAGGGCTTCCCCCTGGTACTATGGCTCAACTCACTAGGTTTCAAATATTTGAAATTCAGCATATAAGAGCAGGTCCCGTACAATGCAACAATGTAATGCGTGCTGTCAATAGTCTTACTCAGCACTGTAAACCTCAAAACACCTTTCTGCATGACATGTTCCAGAATGTGGTTGCTACCTGTCTTTTGCCCAACAGGACCTGCAGGAATGGCCAGAATAACTGCCACCAGAGTGCAAATCGTGTTGGCATGACTTACTGCAGTCGCACTGGAGGGACATATCCCAACTGCCGCTACAGTACTACTCCCCAGAATCAGTTCTACACCATTGCCTGTAACCCCCCTCAGACGGGTGACCCTCCCTATCCTCTAGTTCCTGTGCACTTAGATTAAGACTAAGGTTTTCTTTACATTCCCTCTCACCTGGTGCAGTTTCTCTCATGATCTCTTCTGCCTTTTCTTTCTCTTTGTTGATTTTCATGGTTCCCAAAGAAGAAAGAAGAAGGGGAGTGGACAGAGTTGTGGACAAGAGTGATCAGATACTTTTCTGCTTTGGAGCTCTGTATGTTTTGAAAGAAGGCAACAGGGAAGAGGGCAAAGAAAGACCCAGACCCCCTACTTTCAATCTTGAAACTTCTGTCAAGCTTTGTTGCATTGTGTTCACAGCAATAAAATCACTTTCTGTTGCACTGTAATGACCTTAAATGCATGTGTCTGGGATCCCTTTCACAAACTGTCAGCCTGGGGCTGTCTTGATTGCATTTGCTCACATTCTCAGGGGAACTATTTGGGCCCTAGGTGACTTTCAAGGTTATACCATAACCCAAAGCTTCTGCCACTCCCCTGCCACTCCCCTGTCTTTTGAATTTTGGAGGAGGAAAGTTCATCATCCCTTCAGACTCTGCTCAAGGCTTTTACATATTTCCCTTGAAACCATGCTCTATGTTTATTTGGAGGTGGAATGGATACCTCACAGAGTGTGCATAGTCCTTCACACACAGATTCCAACCTTGGTAACTGATGCATCATACATATTTACTATTGGTTTTCCTATTTCATCAGATGATGTTTTAAATATAAGTAGTAGTAGGGATAATAATCCACTGTAGCTTTAGAGTCACTTGCCCCATGATTTATTGGAATGCATGAAAGAAAGCATAGATCAAGGGGGGGAGAAGTGCTGGGGGATGAAAAACATTCTTCCCTTATCTAAATACTGAAATATCACAGAATTAATGGTGTTTTGGAACCGATATTGGAATTAGACACTGAAGGACAGGAGTTTAATATTTGGCTGGGGTGCACCTGGGTGGCTCAGTGGGTTAAGCTGTTATACCTCTGCCTTGGGCTCAGGTCATAATCTCCAGGTGCTTGGTTCAAGCCCCTTTCAGCTCCCTGCTCAAAAGGGAGCTTGCTTTTCCCTCTTCCTCTTCCCTCCTTTCCCCTTATGCTCATTCTCTCTCTCTGTCTCTCTCAAATAAATAAAATCATGGAAAAAAAAAGAATATGGCTGGGATTAAGAATTTAGGTTCTAGGTGTAGGAGGGAAAATAATTTTCCCTCCACCATTCTAGGTTCTTGGATGAAACACCCCTCCCGTTATAAAAAGGCTGATTAATAAGACAAAAAGTATTTTAATTATGTAAAGACATTTGGTAGCCCCATAGAAAATGAGACTAAAAGGCAGCTAGACATCTGAGGCTTACAAATCTCTAGTCTGCTTTCAGAATTTCTCCTGGTCTGCAATTTCTCAAAATAAACAGCTTAATGTAATTCTTGTGCCAAAAAGTCGACCCGTATTTTGGGTCAACATTTTCTGTTACTCTTTATCAGTCAATCAATGACTACAACCCTGTGAGATAGTAGAAAATATGTATTGATTACTGCTTCTGATTTTTGGCACAGAGCTCCTGAAACCCTTGTAAATTCCTAAGTGATAAGAGTACTGGGAATATCTTTGTTTTTGGCAGACTCCTGGGTATGGTCCCTGGATGCGGGCTGATCACCAGGAAGATTCAGCCACGATTAAAAGCAAGGCAATTTAGGGTCGCCTGGGTGGCTCCATGGGTTAAGCCTCTGTCCTTGGCTCAGGTCATGATCTAAAGTCCTGGGATTGAGCCCCACATCACATTCCCTGCTCAGCGGGGAGCCTGTTCCCCACCCCCGCACCCTCTCTGCCTGCCTCTCTTCCTACTTGTCATCTCTGTCTGTCAAATAAATAAATAAAATCTTTAAAAAAAAAAGCATGGCAATTTCAGCCTCAGCCCCATCCTCTACATAGGAGAGAGGGGATGGAAATGGAGGTAATAATGATCTTGCCTATGTGATGTAGCCTCTATAAAAATCACAAAGTATGGGGTTCAGGGAACTTCCCAGTTGACAAACACATCTATGCTGTGGGAAACAAAGGTGAAAGAAAAAATTAAATTTCCTTACTACCTACAGCCCACTGACAGGGCCTTGACACAAGTAGAGTGAAATCCTTTAGGAACTCAACTGCCTTAATGTTAATACATTACTGAGGCCAAAAGGCAATCTTAGCCTGATCTGCTAGATCCTATAAAAATTCCTATGGAAATTTTCTGTATCTCTACCCTATCCCCAGCTACACCCCCAAGATATCTCATGGCAATCATCCCTCAATCATATGGCCCTCCAATATACATCTTAAGGGTCTCATGACTAAGGTTTTACTAGACAGTAATAAATGACCTTTTCCTAACAATAGCTAGTCCCCTCAGGGTCCTGGAAACCTTGCTTCCAAATTCTTTAGAGACTTACCCTATGCCTAACACCCTCCCAACTGGAAAGTGTGTAATCGTCCACTTGTCATGACCCCAGTGTAGCTCTTTCTGCCTAGGGATTCTTCTTGGTGCTTTAATAAAATCAACTCTTGGCACCAAAGATGTCTCAAGAATTCTTTCTTGACCAGAGGCTTGAAACCCCAACCAATTCCTACATCACAGGATTTTAATAAGAAAAAACGTTAAAGTGGTTTCATGACCTTTAGACCCTATTTCCAAAGACTGATCCTTCTCTATTTTTTCATAATGTGATTTCTTCCAGATTCTTCCAAAAAATCTCTACCCCATTTCTACCACCAAAATTATACTAATTCTATAAATATCCTTACACATATTTCCAACCCACCACAAAACTTGATTTATATCCATACTTCTGGTAATGAATGGGTATGAAGGAGGTACAGAGAGAGAGCTTGGAACACGATCTTTGCTATTCATTCTGTATGGAGAAATTTACTACCCCATCTGCTTTTGTAAACTTTCCTCATTGTATAATTCTTAGATTTTTAAAAAAGATTTTGTTTATTTATTTGTCAGAGAGAGAGAGAGAGAGCATGTGCATAAGCAGGAGGAGAGGTAAGCAGAGGGAGAAGAAGGCTCCCAGCTGAACAAGAGCCAGATGCAGGAGTTGATCCAAGGACCCTGGGATCATGACCTTAGGTGAAGGCAGGTGATTAATTCATTTAGCTACCATGGCATACCTGTTCATTTTTGTTTTCTTTTGTTTGTTTGTTTGTTTGTTTTTAAGTGGGGCTCAACCTCAAGACCATGAGATCAAGACCTGTGCTGAGTTCAGGAGTCAAATGCTTAATTGACTATGCCACCCAGGCTCTCCTGCATTTTATAATTCGTTTATCCTTCTACTCAAATCTTGAAGAATCCTGGTTTTACCAGCTAGTAGAATGTCCTAAGTCAACTATTGGTACTGAACTCAAATTTGTCTGTGCCCCCATGTGCAGTAAGCGAACATGTGAGACATTGATTTGAAGGCAAAGAAAGCTTTTTTATCATCAGAAGGGTGGCCCAACAAGAAGGCAGGGGTTATTTCCAAAGTTGCTTTGCCCTGTTGAGACTAGGAACAGCTTATGTATGTTTGGGGAAGAATGTGAACACTTGAGAGGAGGATAAGGACTTTCTTGAAAGCCTAATGATGGTGGAAGCACCTTGAAACAATCTGGAAGTATGCATTCTGTCAGAAAATGAGGTGTCACTTGGGACATGAGGCATCAGTTAATTTTAAGACAAATGTTATCATCTGTTTCCCATCAGATTCTTATCATCAATGTGCAAAGAAATATCCTAAATTGACCCTTCTCTTTCATGCCTATGGGTCTCTGTTACCAAACACCAACCTGTCCATGTACCCAATGGGATTAAGAATTTAGGTTCTAGGTGTAGGAGGGAAAATAAATTTCCCTCCACCATTCTAGGTTCTTGGATGAAACACCCCTATTTTTGTGCAGTAGGTCAAATTCTGACACACTGGATTTTTAAAAAACATTTTATTTATTTATTTGATTGAGAGAGAGATCACAAGTAGACAGAGAGGCAGGCAGAGAGAGAGGGAAGAAGCAGGCTCCCTGCCAAGCAGAAAGCCCGATGGGGGGCTTGATCCCAGGACCCTGAGATCATGACCTGAGCCGAAGGCAGAGGCTTTAACCCACTGAGCCACCCAGGTGCCCCTGACACACTGGATTTAAAGCAAGGAAAGCTTTAGAGTCAGGAGGGCAGCCTAAGGAGAAATCAGGGGATCATTCCTAAAGCTGCCTTGCCTTGTTGAACTTAGGGACAATTTGCATACATGAAAGGAAGGTGACAGGTTTCCTGGACCTTGTTGGGAGGTCCTTGAAACACTCTGGATGTAAACATCCTTGTGGACAATGAGGCATTATTTGGGACCTAGGATCAGCTGCATCAAGACAGATGTTACTGTCTGGTTCCCGTTATGTTTCTACAATAGCTTGGTAGACTCGGTGTAGGGGTAAAAAGACAAAGTTAATGATTGATTGTGCATGGGGTTTAGAGGGAAGTAAATCAGAAGCACCTGAGGGAAGTAAATCAGAAGCACCTGGGTGGCTCAGTCAGTTGAGCTTCAGACTCTTGCTTTCAGTTCAGGTATGGTGTCATGGGTGGTGGATGAAGCCCTAATCCAGCTACATGTGTGGTGGAGAGTCTACCTGGGAATCTCTCCCTATGCCCCTCCACCCACACACTCTGTTTCTATCTCATTCTCTCTCCAAATAAATAGATAAATAAATAAATCCTTCAAAGAAAAAAGAGGTACAAAAAACAGAATTAACTAGGGAACAAAACAACATAGACCTAAATTAATAATAGTTTTGCTTATGCTTTCAAAACAGGCCCAGGAAGCATATGTTCAGCCTCGTTTTCACACACAGTTCCCTCTTTGGGATGACCTTACCATCCTCTTCACCTAACTTCTAGTTAATCGTCACAATCAGCTCTGGTGTTGTGGCCTCCTCTCTACTGTCTCCTCATCTTCCCCTGGCATCTCCTCCACCACAGCTGGAGAGCTATTGACCGTTATTAGCATACAGTGTATTTGTTTACTTATCTGATTGTCAGATAAATAGTGGGAAAGCTGAGACAAAAATCCAGTTGTACTGGCTCCTAATCCAGGTTTTTTTTCCACTTCATCACAAAGAGAGTTTTGAAAGTAACTGCTTTTGGTTTTTCCCAAAAGTCAATTGTTGGGAGAAACATTAGAAATTTGGAAATGCATGCTGGCAAAATGAGAGCTCGATCCGGATAATCTGGCTCCTTTGTTATGCTGTTCTAACAGCATCATGAAATGATACAAGAGATTTACTTTCTCTCTTCCCAGACTTTTGAATCACTCTAGTAAGTCAGAATATTAAAAATGTACCAGGT